ATAATATGTAAATTCTTTTGTATTGATTCTCGTAATTTCTAGGTCAAAAATCTACCTGGCATCATTTGGGTCCCCTTCGCTAAACAAACAACAATCGAATTTTCTGGGGACGAGCCGATAAAGAACATACCAGTTTTGAGACCGGTTGCCGCTGTGTCTACACCGAGAACAGCATCGTATGTTCTACAAAATTCTGTTTACAAGCTGGTTTCATATAAATAAAGGAAGATTCTCATTGAGGAGTTAGTCATAAGAAGATCAGGAAACGCGATTTAATTGTAACGAAACGTAACATAAATAGTTGTAAAGTTAATTAATAAATTAATAATTAGTCATCGTGAGTTTTAATAAATTAGAATATAGACAATAAATTAGAATAAAGACAAATAAATTAGAACAATATAAATATACTACACTATACTTTTGGACAAGTGACATCCAGTTTTTAAATTCTGTGAAAATAATAACTTTTTAAACGAAAATTCAAAAGAATTACTATTGATTGTTAAAAAGTATGTACTGTAAGTTGACATGTAAGTAAAGTACACACCATTATTACAATTTCAGCTTATTAGGGGAATCCCGCATTTTTTAAATAATTACCAATAAGAGCATATAATAAAAAAACTAAATAAGGTATAAAATTTTAAAACATTTTATTTATAAAAAAATAAAGAGCAATATATACTATGGTCTCCACTATCACTTTTCATATGAATGGCCTTGGGCCCAAAATCCACTTTACAGCATGATGATCACATAGAAATATTTAAATGTAGTCAAAATTTTAAAAACATAAAATACCTCACTGTACGCTTAACCTAATCATTAAAATTCTTTAAATTTATAAAATATAAATGGAAATTTTATAGCATAAATAAAATTCTTTTGAAATTTGGATAAAAATATATTGGTCAAGAATACCAATTCTTTTAAAAAAATATATTTTTTAAAAAGTAATATTTTAATCTCAATAATATACAAAAAATATAATACCGTATTGATAAAATACTATTTTCAATTGTGCTGCCGTAGAAAATAATAATAATAATAAAAAATTAAATATATACCCAAAAAATATTTTGAATTTGAAGTATTTTTATGTGGCATTTAACCACTGTATTTTTCTGGAAATAAAAAGTAGTAATTGTAATTAAAGTTACAGATTTTACTGACTTTTCGACTTCTAGTTGGGAAATCATTCTAAAATAGAAATAAATTAATCTTAAATATTGTTTTAGCCGTCAATTTGCGGTAAATCCACCCTGGGCAGTTCTATCTGTTCTGCCACGCTTCTAATGAAAATTCAGCAATGAACTACAAGCCCTAACAACTATATAATAGGACAAATTAAAATATTTAACAAATTATTCAGGTGTTTAACTGCTAATTTATTATTATTTTTGAATAATGATGATAATGATGCTATATAAGAAATATTTTAAATGATAAATAATAACAAATTGTAATCAATATTTTTTTAAACAACCCGTATAACCAATTATTGTCATAAGAATCATCAAAATATCTAAAAATTAGTGGCAACTAAATATTGGTACAGTAATCGCAAGACACCGAACAACCTAAGACAAGTAGGCTATGAAAACAATACAACCGGACACTGCAACAAACGTCAAACTATATTCTACTCAATAACATACTCAGCTTAAGCATTATGGGAAAACAAAAAGTATCTTATATATATATATATATATATATATATATATATATATATATATATATATATAAAAGTTCTAGTCATCCAGCACTAAAAGTTTAAACACTTTAGTTTCTGATAGAATAGGAGAATATTAGTAAAAGTTTGCAAAAAAGGTCGAAGAAATAGTCTTACATAAGTTACACCTAAATGGAATCATGATACCGGAGTAAATGTGTCAAGGGAATGTTGTCGCAAGTGAATGCATAAATCGGGATTAAAGTTTTAGGTATATGATTGAATTGAATTACATGTAACAGTTCAAACGTGTACTTGTAGTTTAAAAAATTATATTTTCTTATAGGCAAAGGAAAAGCCACTGTCAATAGCAAAACAAAGGCAAAATTGCAAAACTTATATTTTTTGAGAACACCCTGTATTTAAAATCTTTTGGCCGTTTTTGACATAAAAATTTAATTTCTTTTTTTTTGTCCTGTAGTCGGATATCAACTAAAACAACCAGGCTTTTTGTCTCGCATTTTTGCAAAATTAAAATATAAATTTCGTATTTTACAAGATAATACTTCTGGAAAAATGAAAATATAATCGTAAATGCGGTTCTGTTTACGTCTTTACGTTCTGTACTAATGTTTAGGTCTACTGCATCGCTTACTGAAATTTAGTAAAGTTTGTCCCAATATATAGATGTTAAGGCTCATACAGTAAATACATTGAGCATAGGGCATCGACATACCCTGAGGGCGCAAAAGACCAATGTTTGCTATAGAGATAGCAAACCCTTTACTTTAGAGGTATAATATATAGATCAATTGTCACTACGATCGAGACAGGTACGGTAGAAAAGCCAGAAGAATTTTCTAGCGCTCAGTGACATTTGAGAATGCTTTTTCTAGTGAAAGGGGAAACGATAAAATACGTAATTAATTACAATTATTGTTTATTTTCAGAAAATATATAGTAGTCAAATGAAAAATATGACAAATAGCATACTATTTGTATTCATAAATTCGTCTAAGGAGTAAATCTTTTACTTCTAAACTTTTTTTAATTCAGAGACGATTTGTATACTCATGCTCAGATCTATAAAAAAAAATACAAGAAAAATATTTCCAACTATTAATCAGTTCATTGAGAGACAAATTTGGGGAAGCCAATGACAGAAAACCATTTCACAACTGTTTTGTTCGAGACATAATTTCTATAATCATCGTTATATTTAGAAAAAACGAGAGAGGGTTTAGAGATAGAGAGCAAGAATAGATATGTTATTAAAATTGCATAAGTTATTAAAATTTATTAACTTTTTTTAATATATTTATAATAATTAAACTATACTTATACAAATTACACCAAAGAACGAACTATAAGTACAATGATAGTAATATACAGGGTGCTGAATCGTCAAACGGGCCATAGGAAATTCAATGGGAAATTCTAAATTGTTGAATTCCTGCTTCCCTAATTATTTTACACCAAAAGTCATGAAAAACTATCTGCAGAGGACTGAAATATGTTTTGAAACCAAATGTTAAAATTGTTCTACGAAATAAATGTATTACAAAATTTTGCAGGAATATAATACATTTTTCAGGCCACCCCTTAAAGTCAGGCCACACGAAGTACAAGAATCTGTATGACATGTTGCGTTTGGCCATATTGACGATTCTGATATTTGACAATATTTGAATTGTCAATATTTTTATTTTATGATTAAGTTATACACATATAATTTCTATTACATGCAACAAATTAAAATTTTCTTTATTTTATCAATCTTACACCCTTATCCAACCTCGTGTTTTGTGCTTTTGTTAAGTGTTGATTAAATGCCTCATTACAATGTAAAACGGCCTCATTACCTTTACAAATTATTATATCAGAACTATGGCGATATTTCGGGTGACTACCGATTAGACAAAGATGACTAACTGCTCTTTCTTATATTTATATAAAAAAAAAATTAAACCCCCTACGCTCAAGGGATCATTATTAAAACGTGCTGATAAATTATTAGGAAACATGATATAGAGATTAGACAGCCTTGATAACATGAGCGTCAGAAGCTCTCGCAACCAGAAAAAACAATTCTAAGCCCAACAAAAATATAACCATACGCGTTAGGTGTGAATTATCTAAGCATATAATAGATAATTATATACTTCCTCACAGAGGACAAATTAAATGTCTAGATAATGGTTTCTAATCTCCAATAAATACTGAAAATAACACGATAATTAGCTGAACCTGTTTTTAGTATCTTACAAATTTTCCTTACTCATTACTTACGTTAAAATGTCTAAAAAATTATTAAATTATGTTCTTCTTACCAATTCCTAATTTTTTTCTCAATGGTCGCATTGTAGTGAATTATAAAACATTTCTATATGTTCAACATGCTCTTAATCACAATTTTACTGTGCCAAAATGCATTAGACACAACTTGTTACCAAACAATAAACTATCAAAGTGTGATACAGTCTATAAACCTTCCCAAACAAACTTTAAATGCCACATAACATTTTTTTTATAATCTTTAATAATGGTCATTATTTGTAATCAAATTTAAACAGCTTTTAAGAGTTTAAGGTTATAACAGACTTTTTTCAGGGCGTCAGTATCCTGAGTCACAAATTCAGTTGTAAAGTTCGATATTGTCCAAATCGGATAATGAGTAAGCTAATTGTTATAACAATATTAATGTTAAACTGAGAAATCTTTTCCCAAACGTAGAGAATAACCATGTGTTTGAGTGTTGTACCGGCTTTCAGGGTATGGTTTTTTCTTAATGGGTTCTTTACTATGAAAATTTAGGAAGTAGTCTGTAATTTTGAGGATTTCTTGTACTTCCATTTCAATGGCTTCCTTTATTGTTCTATTATTTTAGTGTGACACTTGCTTATTCCTAAGATTTGGCCAGTGTTCATCTAGTCTGACGAAGATATGTCGACTGGTTTGACCTATCTTCGTTACAAGTTTTCAATACTTACTGTAAATTCCTGGATTGATGATTATTAGTATTGAAGGGAATTATCAGGGAATGAGATTTGTACAGGACAGAGAACTATTGAAGCAATTAGGAGAGACCTAAATTCAGGAGTTGATGGATAAATGTTGACAAATAATGTAAGTGGTCCTAAATCGTTAGTTAAAATACCAAATCCAAAAAACCACATTCCGGAAACCGATTCGAGGACGACAACATTGTAAACCACTCAATACGGGCACCACATTATAAGTTTGTTTGGAAATGTTCGTTAAACCATTTCGTATAACATCATGCTTTTAGTTGTATATACAAATATAAAACATATATGCGACATAGTTAACATTTGGATAAACTTTGATAATATCCAGCTAGTACATCCCATGCTTTCGGTGCCATGAAACCATCAGGGGGAGTGTCACCGTTCCTAGCTAAAGTTCTCATCTTGGTACCTGATATGAATTCGAAATCTTCTTTACGAGAAACGTCGAAGAAATCCATTTTTCTGTGCTTCTTGTCATAAGCTGCCACTCTAAACGGAATGATTTCTAATGAATTTAGACCTAAAATTAGGAAATTTATATCATTACTGATATTTACTACCAGACTTAGACAAATATGCATAAATCGTAAGTTTATACGCGCATAAGTATGCACGACTTTTGTTAATAATATACAGAAAAAATTCAACATAACATTTAACAAAACACACTAATAATTTTTAAGTATGTATATTTATTATATTAAATAGATAATGGTAAATGAACTAGCACAATAGGCAGCTATACAATCTAGAATCTCTAGATCTACTTGGCAAGAACACATCACGAATATAAGATATTCCACCAACCAACAATTTAAATGGACCTTCTCAGGACCAAGCGACAAAAGGACTCGGACCAAACATCCGAATCTGTCATTTAAATATAGAAGGTGTTAGTAGAAGTAAATTTGAGTATCTTCAAAAGGTACTCATTGAAAATAATATCGACGTGGTCGCAATTCAGGAAACCCATGTAGAAAACGAAACAAAACTTCTCGCTAGAGAATGAATTTATAGCTATGATTTATTGGGTGCAATTTACCATCCAGCTTATGAAGTGGCAACCTATGTTCAAAACAAAATAGAAAATGCACACATATGTTCTACATCAGACATAAATAATATTGATACTCTTATTATACAAATTGGCTAAACTACTGTCAGCAATATTTATAAACCCCCGACAGTACTGTGGCCTCCGCATGTTATTCACGCCCACCCATACACCTCAGTTTATGTTGGAGACTTCAACAGTCATCATGAACTCTGGAAGTATAGGTACAGTGATCAAAACGGCAAGGCTCTGCTAAACTGCTAAAAAGAGGCTGACACTTATTTAGTCTTTGACGCTAAAGATCCAAGAACTTTTCAATCTACAACCTGGAGGCAAGAATACAATCCAGACCTATGTTTTGTTTCCACAAGTGAAAACAATCAATCACTGGCAGCTTCATCTACAGTATTCCCATATTTTCCACGTAGTCAACATAGACCAGTTGTAATAGAAGTTGGCAACAAAATATCAATACCATCTTTTCCTCGACCTAGGTGGAACTTTCGAAAAGCAGACTGGGCGACTTTTACTGAGAGATTGGACAAATGTCTGGGATGGATCACCCCAACACGTGCAAACTCCATGAGATTTGTTGGCGCGGTTATCTCTATAGCGAAGAACACTATACCCAGAGGATATTGTAAAGAGTATGTCCCAGGATGGGCTAAAAATGTGAGAACTTGTATCAAGAATACAACGAAAGCCAAGACCGAGAAATTGCGGACGAACTACTACACAGTTTGGATGACGCCAGACGACAAAAATGGATGGGAGCTATGAAAAAATTAGACTTTAGTAAATCAAACAGAAAAGCATGGTCATTACTTAGAAAACTTGGTAGTAGCAGACTCCCAACTAGAGACAAAGTACCAATAGTTCCCAACAGAGTGGCCTCCCACAATGAAGCAACCTCAAGGTGACCACACTACCAAAGTAAAACAAGAACTTAAAATACTAAAGTCTGCGTACCCGTCTACATCTGAATACTCCGACGAGTTTACTCCAGAAGAAATTATTTCAGCAATATCAGAAATTAAGTCTGGAACGGCATCCAGCTCCCATCCAGAATTTTTACTCCACTGTGGCAAATATGCTAGGAAGTGGCTGGCTGATTTCTATACAGATATAATAAAATCAGAAGAAATCCCCTATTCACTTAAGAAACCTCCATTACAGCTATATTAAAACCAGGAAAGACAAATGATCAGCTCCAAAACTACCGACCGATTTTACTGCTGAGCTGTGTCTATGAACTGATGGAACGCTTAATCTACAACAGAATTAGTAGAAACATATTTGAATTAACCTATTGAGCAAGCAGAGTTCATACCTAACCACAGCTGGACAGATCAGATCCTATCCCTAACAACACATATTGAAGCAGATTTTCAAAGAAAGCAAAAAGCACCCGTTGCTTTCATTGACAGCTGCATGATACTGTCTGGAGACAAGAACTAATCTGTAAACTAATCCGTGCCATCCTATGTCAAAAGGTAACTAAAATCATTGATGGCATGCTAACCGACAGATCTTTTCAAGTCACAATGAGCAACTTTAAAAATGTCCATATGAAGCTCAGCAAAGGACTACCACAGTGATCTGTTTTGGCACCCTTACTGTTTAAATAAATTACATTAAAAAGCTTATACAGGGAAATTAATTAGTGAGGAAAACTTAGTTCTAACAGTTTCAATAAAAACAAAACAAAGTCGGATGACTACTTACCTGGAGCCATCTTCAATACCCTTCCACCATGTGTAGGATCATAAAGATTGCCGTCGGGGGATGCTTCTTTTCCAGCAGGATGTGTAACACCAGCTGGATCTCTACCTACGATATAGAAATTAGCACCAGCGTTCATTCTTGCTTTGGCATGCCATTGGACTTCGGTAGGTCCTGCGTACATCATGGGGCTGGGGAAAATAGCTAATACTGTTGAAGTGCGATCTAGAAGACCTTCGTCGAGAACTGCTTGGTGTTGAAGGATTCTGGTTGGTAGAGGGACGTCGTCGTCTTTGATCCAACCACCTAAAAAAGCAAAATTTCTAATATTCACATACGAAGACGGTGAAGAATGGAAAGTACCCAGACAATACCTTTTATTCTCTCTACTACTGGAGTCATTCCGAAGAACCTCCTAGAAAACATAAAAAACTAGTCTGTATGAACAGATCTAGAAACACAAATCAGGAGAAGAATAGAAAGTACCCCGAGAGTACTTATTATTCTATCTAGTATTGGTGTTATTCCCAAAAACCTCCTAGTGCACATAAAACAGCTGGGTCTAAACGAATATCTTGATAAAGCCATGCAGAAAGCTGTACTTTTCGCGACGTCCAGATGTGTACGAAAATTTTTGGGAGATTCTCCAGCATAACAAGTCACCTAGGGCTCGATAACACGGAAAGAGTCCCACCAGAGATCAATCCTTTTGATACCGTAGGTATCTGAGATGAGTGAATTTTTCCCTTAGAGATAGAGTGAGCCCTTTGCTGTCTTTGATTAATGTGTTGAATTGTATAGCATCAAACGGCTGAGTTTCATGGTTTTAAATTATATTAGCAGGAAAGAGATATTACGATTTCTGAATAACGCCATAATTGTGAATAATGTAGTAATAATCATTTGTATATAATTGTGAATGATTGTACCGGGTGGTCCAATAAGCCGATCTCTCGGCTATATATCAGAAACTATTCATGTTATAACTTTAGGAGAAAAAATTCAAGTTTCTGGGTTAACTTCTAGGGGGCGTAACCTGCGAAGAAAATTTTGAAAACCAGTTTTTTGGAAAATATGTCCAATTATACCAAGTGTTAAATAAGTAAACTAGAAAGAGGCATAAATTCTGCACAAATTTGTTCCACTACTTTTTTTATTTTTTCAAATAAAGGGGGGGGGGAGAGTGGGAAAGTATTTGTGGATAAATATCTATAACTTTGGTTTGGATCAACCGATTTTAACAAAATTAGTGTCATTAGAAAGAGTGAATTAATTCACATCTACTATAAAATACTTGCATTTAGTTTTAATAGTCGTACGTAGAGGGGACTTTTAAATAGAAAAAATTAAAATTCGTTTTTCTTCAAAATAATTAATGAAAACTCCTATTTATTGTAAACTATAATGGAACTGTGTTAAATTCGTAACAAAATGGCGCAAACCGCATGTTAATAGCTTTTGTTTAACTCGATATATGAATAAAAACGCATGAACATAAGTAAGTATAGTATTGACTCACCCTGTATTATAAATTAAATTAAAAAATAAGTCAGTAGGTACTTTAATTTTTTTTATAGCCAAAGAATCTTAATGTTGATACCTATTTTGACCACTGTTATTTTATATGAGTAAAAATAGTTTTTTCGAGAGTGTTATATTATAATCCGAATAGAAGATTGCACTTTTTTCAATAGATATTAATATTGGTAATATTAGTAATTAATTATGAGTACTAATAATCCGTGATAAGTATATCAAATGCAGAATTGTATGATATGCTTGGAGTTTATTTCTAATGTCACCAAAATGCCGCTATTGCCTCACGTATATATTCTGTAAGATATCCAGATAGGAGACAGTATGGCAAAGAAATATTTGAAAGAAAGGTAAGAAGATTAAGAGCAACTGGTAGTTTTCATCGTCCTTGTTTTAAACGACGTAGTAGAAGTATGACCGAAGATAATTCAATTAATGTTATTGCTTTAATTCAACAGAATCCACATATAGGTAGTCGGCAAATCTCTATAGAATTAAACATACCCAAAACTACTGTTCTAAGGATTTTAAAACATCACAGGTTGGTTTTTCATATTATAAAGTGAACGTTTAGGTCAGAAACTTGGAATTCCCTTTAAACTTTAGATTCAACTGTTATTTTAATATTCCGATAAAAACGGCAACACGGCGCTTTTATCCTTTTATCCGTTTCTTAAAAATACTTACGCACGGTTTATCTTGTGAAACAATTATAGATTTTTCAAGATCTTTGAGTTTTAGTAAATATAGTGGTTTCTTTTTCACCAATATTTGTTGTTCTGTTTTTTGACTGCATCCTTATCATGTAGTTCTTCACCAAGCTTTACATGAGCGAGATTTTGATGCAAGGCTGGATTACTGCAATTGGATGTTAGGTCTGCTAGAAGAACAATCGCGTATCATGTCAAAGATTTTGTGAACAGACAAGGCTACGTTTTATAGTGCGGGTGGTGTTAATCTACATAATATGGATTATTGGGCTAAAGAAAATCTGCATTGGATACATGAGGTGCAGGTTCAAGGTAGATGAAGTCTTAATGTTTGGTGTGGTATAGTTGATGGAAAGATTGTAGGTCCATATTTCTTTAATATAACTTTAAATGGCGAAAAATATTTGGATTTTCTGGAAAATCAGTTGCCTGTTTTATTGGAAGATATTCCCTTACAAACAAGAAGAGATATGATATTACATGACGGGCGTCCTGTGCATTTTTCCAGATGAGTTCGAGATTATTTGTATGCAAGTTATCCAAATAAATGGATTGGAAGGAGAATCTCAAGACTTAACATATCTGGACTTTTATCTGTGGGGAAGATTGAAGGACTTAGTGTACTAGACTTGACCAACCACGCGAGTCGAGATAAAACAGCGCATTATAAACACAATAAATAGTATATCAACAGCTGAGATTGAAGCAGCTGTTATGTCTACGCGCGAAAGATTACATCTTTGTGTGGACAATGATAAAAAAAGAGGTTAGTCTTCGTAAGTAAAAAAAATTCATATATGGGTATATTTATTCAAAATTTTTTTTTTTAATAAATATACCCACTTACGAAGACTACCTCTTTTTTGTGATACGTGGTATACAGCCAGCTACAGGAATTGTTTTCCTTGTGGATTTTAATGATAAAAAACAATTTGAACATTTAATTGGACATTAAGTTTTAATGATCGAGATGTTTGTATGATCTTTCACATATTTAATTTTAAGTTATAATAAAGGGTAAGTCAATACTATATTTATTTTTGTTTATGCGTTTTTATTCATATCTCGAGTTCTACAAAAGCTATCAACATAAGGTTTGTGCCGTTTTGTTACGACTTTAATCGAGTTCCAGTATATTTACAATAAATAGGTGTTTCCATTAAACATTTTGAAGAAAAATAAATTTTAATTTTTTCTATTCAAAAGTACCCTCTATCCATGACAATTAAAACTAAATTTAATTGTTTTATAGTAAATATAATAAATTATCCATACTCTTTCTAATGACACTAATTTCGTTAAAATCGGTTGATCCAAACCAAAGTTATAGGTATTTATCCACAAATACTTTCCCACTCTCCCCCACCCTACATTTGAAAAAATAAAAAAAAGTACTTGAACGACTTTGTGCGGAATTTAGGCCTCTTTCTAATTTACTTATTTAATACTTGGTATAATTGGGCATATTTCACAAAAAAGTGGTTTTCAAATTTTTATTCACAGGTTACGCCCCCTAGCGGTTAACCCAGAAACTTAAAAGTTATTTCCAGCGATTTCTCTTGACCACTTTTACTAAGGAATTTTTTCTCCTAAAGTTATAACATGAATAGTTTCTGATATATAGCCGAGAGATCGGCTTATTGGACCACCCGGTACAAAGATTCAATGGAAAGACTATAATTTTCAATCTTTACGGACTGAATAAATTTTTTGTAAATGTAAATTTTGCGATTCTTGTATAAAATACGTTACCTAAAGGATGGAGTAGTAGGACAGGTTTCTTGTAACCCCTTTCTTGTAGTTGCCTCTTGGTGTCTGTCATTAACAATGCGTGACCGTTGTGAATGGGGTTCCTCAGTTGGAAGGCGAACACTGCATCAGCTCCCATAGCTTTAAACTTGTTTCTGAGTTCATTGGGTGTCAATCGATACTTATCTAGTCCATCATTCCATTTTATCCTTTGGAATACTTCCAAGTCACCTAAAATTGCGACGTGTGGCGTAAAAGGTTAAGTTAAAAGAAAATTAAACACAATTAAGGTTAACCTACAGGACTGTTAACGGTACACAAACGTGATAGATGTGGGCAGTATTAAGTTGATTTCTTAGTATAAAAAAAATATCAATTTAATGATACATATTGAAACAACCACAAGCAGGTTATGTATTATTCCAAAACAACCTTGGTATAAGAATTTCGTCGTCCCTCACAAATACATAACTACCATCAGTAGACTTAGATTTGGCCATGCATGTTATCCTACACATTTATTTAAAATACATATATTAGATTCGGATATTTCTCAAGAATGTCAGATTAAAAGTGACTTCAACCACATATTTTTTGAATGTCAAAAGTATAAACAACCCACCAATAATCTAATTAAAAGACTGATAGACAAGAACATCTCACTTTCTGTTAATATTCTCTTTCTACTATCACTAAATGAAAAGAAAATGTTTGACTGCTTGATAATTTTTTTTGTCTGATAGTAAAGTATGCCTGTAATTAGTTAGATTTGTAACCTATGTTTAGAAAAAATTCATGAAAAAAATACATAATAAAAAAAAAGATTAAAAAAAGGAATATAAAAAAATACTAAAAAATAGATTTAAAAAAATAATTAAAAAAAAGAGGAATATAAAAAATATATTAAAAAAATTAAAAAAAGAACAAAAAAAAAAGAAAAAAAAAAATAAAAATATAGTAAAACAATCACTAAGAGGATCTAAACCTCCGAGGTGTTGAATCGGGTTTAGGCCCAACGTAGTGAAAAAAAAAATATATATATTATCATAGTTATATTTATTAACATAGTAGGTAGATATTTTTATTTGTAAGAGGTATACACTATGTATTTCACATGACGTCTTTCAATAACTAAATTATAACAAAGGTGTGATATAGTATTTATTAACATAGTATGTACATTAGTTTAGTAAGGAATAATTATATTATTATTATTATCATGTTTCACTAATTGACATATTAAAACAAAAAAAAGGTTATGTATTATAAGAACGAGAAGAAAGTATAAGTTTGGGAAAGTGTTTAAAGCTTACTAAATATATTATTTTTTTATTGTCTAAAAACAATTATTATTTCTCATAAATTAGTGTCTATATTTTTGATACTCAACAAGAGATGACTGCCTACCGAATATGATGTTATGATATATGTTAAGATGTGTGTTCACTTGCCAGCTTGGAGCACCATCCTTGTTCCAAGCTGGCCAGAACGAAGGTGATGACTGAAGATGACTTAAGTGTTAAGGTGAATAGTTGCAATTGTAGACGGAAATCAATGGGCTGCATGGTAATTGTTTCCCCTCAAGGGTATAAACGCCAACAAATAATGACTTCCTGAGTATTCATACTTCTTATTGCCTACTAGAAATTTGTATTAAATGTTAATAAAAAAACTTACCTCCGACCAACCAGTCACCCGATTCGTATACCATCTTTACATAAGGATGATCTTTATTCGTCGTACCAAACTGCCTTGCCGCTCTCTCTTCTTTTCTATAATAGAAAAACTCTGGTTTCCTAAGAATAGCATAACACTGATCGTTGTATAACAGCGCAACAGCAGATGCATCTTTCAAACGTTCCATATCCATAGTAGTGAGAGGCAAGACAATTGGAATGCTTTGACTGACGGGATTACCCTCGTTCTGAAGGCAGTTAAAATGGAGCGTTTGTAAGTATTGATCCTCGCGCATGAAACCTTTCAAGGGATACGCCCAACCTTCACTGAGAATCTACAAAATATTTATAGGAGTTTAGTATGTAGTATAGTAATAATATATTGTAACGACAGCTTTCTTAATATATCAATGCAAAACGAGAATTGTCGGTATGGCTCTAATATCCCATACCACGACTGGAACAAGTAGCATAAAAATTCAATTACAAAATCAGATACCGGAACTATTTATTTAGACTGTATTACCAGAAAGGCATCAGTTTAATTCTAAATTATTAAATAACACATTCGGGTAACAAATAAACGCAACAGTTTAATACTATCCAAAATTTGAGGCATATCTTTTATTTTTATTCCAATCTTAACTTGTACAGACAGTCTTTAGTTAAGTACTTGTATTTTAGATATCATACAGGGTTAATTAACCCATTAAGCGCCGTTGATGCGAAAACGCAACATTTTAAAAGGAATTTTTTTTATACAACTAAATATTTTGTTTTTAGAAAATTCTTTATATGTTTTAATTCCTAAAGGCTTGATGATATTGAAATATATTTTGTAGAACAAATATAATTAATTGTTTATCTATTATAAATTAATGTCTTCAGCAGTTTTTTACATGATTCGTCATGACTATATAATCTTCTTGTAGACTTTTCACTTTGCTTATAATATAATGGTTTATATGATTTTTATAAAGCATAAACTACAGATTTAGCAATACCCATACAAAAAAATTAAATAATTTTATCAAGAAAAAGTTACATGCATTCAAACTTATTGTTGCGTTTTCGCATCAACGGCGGAATGTGCTGTCTCTAGGTAATACCGCCTACGCTACGTGACAAATCGAGTGTAACCGTATTTGACTAGTTCAGTCTTGTCTAGAGCGTTTTAGTATAAGCATATACAGCAATAATTGTGTTTCTCTGTATTGTTGCGGATAAAACATATATAATGAGTTCTGGCAAAAATAAGTGGAAAGATAATTATGATCGGAATAGACCTCTTACTATTCAAGAATTGGAAGCTGCTATTGAAGAAATTCAAAATGAGACCGAAATTGATGCTGTTATAATACCACCAGATGTCGATGAGCTTACTGATGAAGAGGAAATAGATGACGATTTATTGGAAGGTATTATACGGTATAATTATATAAGATACTGTTATGTAACTTTTATTTTTTTATTACTTATAGGCCATGATACGCCTCAAGACACTGCTGGGACATTCGAATTGATGGCTGAGGACAACACAAATGAATTTGAAGATAATTATAATGAACCTTCTACAAGCCAGGCTACTTCAAAGAGGGCAAAATCTGTTCAATATAATCCAAACTGGAGCAAAAGGGACCCCGTATACAGTAATTTTCCGGAATCGCAGGAGCACATTCAAAAACAACGTATAAAGGACATGCTTTACCGTAAATCACCAGTTGAAGTATTTTATAATTTTTTTGATGAGGAATTATTAGACATGATTTTAAAATACACTTTAAAACATGCCAAGGACACCAATCGACATGATTTTTTAGTGACAGTATCTGATTTAAAGAAATTTATTGCTATTTTGATATTGTCAGGATATCACACGTTGTCACAAATAGAGATGTATTGGAGCAGAGATGAGGACAAGGGAGTACCATTAATTAAAAATTGCATGAGTCGAAATAAGTTTAGCAAAATAAAAAAATATATACATGTATGTGATAATGCTCAACTTGACAAGCAAGATAAGTTTGCTAAATTGTGCCCATTATTTGACAAAATAAACAAAAGAAATCTGCAGATTGGTGTATTTTCACAAAATTTATCAGTCGATGAGGAAATGGTTCCTTATTTTGGTAGACACTCCGCTAAAATGTTCATCAAAGCCTGTTCGCTTCGGTTTTAAAATTTGGTGTCTTTGTTCTCAAGATGGATATTTGTTTCAGTTTAGTCCATACGCTGGAGCACGAGAACATAAAAGTGATATGGGACTGGGAGCAGATGTTGTTATAGATCTATTAAAAGTTCTAAGTTCTTGAATTTCCTTCTCAACACAGAATATTTTTTGACAATTTTTTTTCGTCTTTTAAACTATTTCAATATCTTACTGAAAATAATATATACGCCACAGGAACTGTGCGGGAAAACAGAATCCAATGCATGGAAAATTTATAAATTGGCAAACGACTCTACAATATCGCAATTAGAGTTTCGCTCTTATATTGTTATGGCGCTAATAAAATCAGAAGAAAGTAATTCATTATCAGCCAGCGACGATGAGGGTACATCAGCTCCTAAATACCAAGGACGAGGAAGGCCAACAAAGTCAGAAATATCGAAAGAAATGAGAACTGACAAAGTGAACCACATCGTAATACGCCACCCTGAAAAGTCAAGAAAAAGATGCAGACAATGTAAAAGCCAAACTATATATATATATATATAAATATATATATATATATATATTATATATATATATATAATATATATATATATATATATATATATATATGTAAATACTTTTTTCTTTTTGGGTGTGGTAGTCAATAAAAAATAGAGCTTTGCTAAGGCGTACTATTTATTCTGAAATCCGAGCTTTCGGTGGTTATTTGCCACCTTTATCAAGGTCTACAATGAAAATTACTGTGTTATAACATTAGGCTGATGTAATATAAAAGTTATAAAAACTTACCAGAAAGTAAGATTCATAGCATATAAAACACAACGTTAAATAACATAATGTGATCTGAATTATTGAAGGCATTAAAAATTTAAAAAACTTTAAAATACTTAAAAATTAAAGAACATGTTACAAAGTTTAAAAAGTAAAAAATAAGACGACATGTTTGACAAAAAACAGTCGTCTTCGCAGGTTTGAATTCAGTCACATCTCACAAAACAGAAAGAGGTAGTAGGAGGAACTATTGTTGTTTAAATAGTTCGATGTAACTACAAAAAACAAACTTTCAAACTGATGTCTAACAAAATGCCGTTTGTGATTTTAAGTACTACCAACCATGTTACCAACTTAGAATTGAGAGGGAAATTTAAAAAAAGGTTTTATTATGTCAAAAAATAAAAAGAAAATAGTATTTAGTAAGTAGGTTTAGAAAAAACAAACAACCAAAACAAAATGAACATCTGAATAATAACTGAAGTTAATCATGATAATTATAGCAATTAATAATGGAATTTACGAAACATGAAGCACTCTGAGATGCAGAAAACCCTAGTCAAAAGTCAAAATAAAATTGTAAATTTTGCTAAGATTCTGGATCTCGGATCTTTTATTCAGATTGTTGTTATCACTCCTGCTGATATGTACCATTTCTAAGAATGTTCTCTTAAATTTATTTTTCTCTCTGGCTAATATTTTAACATTGTTGAAATCTATTAGCTATATCTATTAGCCAGAGAGAAAAATAAATTTAAGAGAACATTCTTAGAAATGGTACATATCAGCAGGAGTGATAACAACAATCTGAATAAAAGATCTGAGATCCAGAATCTTAGCAAAATTTACAATTTTATTTTGACTTTTGACTAGGGTTTTCTGCATCTCAGAGTGCTTCATGTTTCGTAAATTCCATTATTAATTGCTATAATTATCATGATTAACTTCAGTTATTATTCAGATGTTCATTTTGTTTTGGTTGTTTGTTTTTTCTAAACCTACTTACTAAATACTATTTTCTTTTTATTTTTTGACATAATAAAACCTTTTTTTAAATTTCCCTCTCAATTCTAAGTTGGTAACATGGTTGGTAGTACTTAAAATCACAAACGGCATTTTGTTAGACATCAGTTTGAAAGTTTGTTTTTTGTAGTTACATCGAACTATTTAAACAACAATAGTTCCTCTACTACCTCTTTCTGTTTCGTGAGATGTGACTGAATTCAAACCTGCGAAGACGACTGTTTTTTGTCAAACATGTCGTCTTATTTTTTACTTTTTAAACTTTGTAACATGTTCTTTAATTTTTAAGTATTTTAAAGTTTTTAAAATTTTTAATGCCTTCAATAATTCAGATCACATTATGTTATTTAACGTTGTGTTTTATATGCTATGAATCTTACTTTCTGGTAAGTTTTTATAACTTTTATATTACATCAGCCTAATGTTATAACACAGTAATTTTCATTGTAGACCTTGATAAAGGTGGCAAATAACCACCGAAAGCTCGGATTTCAGAATAAATAGTACGCCTTAGCAAAGCTCTATTTTTTATTGACTACCACACCTAAAAAGAAAAAAGTATTTACATATTTTTTCCAAACTAGTCAAAAAATTTTGGACTACCTTGTCTTTATATATATATATAATATATATATATATATATATATATATATATATATATATATATATATATATATATATATATATGTGTCAGAAGTGCAATGTACATTTACACTCTACATGTTTTGACAGCTTCCATAAACTGTAATATTAGGTTTTATAGTTTTTTTACAAATATTTTATTTAGATTTACTACTTTTGTATCTTAAATTTTGTAATAAATCTCGTAATCCATAAAAGTGTATTTCATTAATTTCTTAACAGATTCCGCCATTGATGCGAAAACGCAACATTATTTTTTTAGAACACCCTGTAACCTAAAAAAAATTATATCCAGTTTTGTCTTTAAAACACCATAAATAACTAACCCTTATATTATTTTTATAAAAAATTTACATATTTCATACCTTGGCGGTAAATGGGCTAGAAGGTATAACTATAAGGTACAAAATATTCGTAGAATTAAAAGGGAGATATGTTATAGAAGTTTTCGTATAATTGTGTATGAAAACCTGCAAAATTATAGTTCTCAAATGTAAATTTCTGTAAATTTTCGCTGTTGACCGGCCCTCAGACAATAGCTTAATTCATTGCATTGGATACTATTGGTTCTTCCAAAATTTCCTGTTCGGAATCTGCGGAATATTGAGCAATGACATATTCTAAAGCAGCATCAACATGTTCTCCGAAATTCCTATATTCTTTTTCTTTACGGGTGGACACCGACACATCTTGTCCCAATGGTTTGGTATTTCCGGTCACACATTTTTTTTCTGTTCCGGAGTACTCGATTCATTTTCACTGTTACTAGAATCAGTTGGTTGGTACTCGTCCGACAGATACATGTCGCAAAACTCACCCGATTCTTCATCTGACACAATTTCTTGCCAATATTTTTCAAGGTTTTGTTGCTCTAGAGGAGACTTTAAGAGGAATAGACAAGTTAAGGCGTGATGCCACGTTGGACTCTCATAGGCATTTTGTGATAAAAATCTTGCTGGTGGCCTCGAAACTCTTTAAACAATGAAATTTTAACCAAAATTTAATATTCACCCGAAAGCAAAAAAAAACAAATTCGAATTTTAGAGTGTTAAGATTTTGATTTGAAAGGTAAAGTAGTTTCAAACTTGCAGAATTTAAAGTTTGAAAGAAGAATCGAAATACTTTTTCTCTTATAAATATTTTGTATGTCGATACATACAATCTATGCAATTAGTAATATCATATTAAGGAATATTTTGCCATTCCTCCTAAAGGTCTCTACGAAAGCCGGAGCTACTTCATGATCTTTAACTCCCGTACATTACGTATGCATACTCTATGGGGCTGAAATCAAGAGAACGTATTGGCCATTTCATTTAGTTAATCTTCTTCTTCTTTTTTATAAGCAGAATGCTTGTTCAATGTCGATTAATGCCTCTATTGGAGGTTATCACTCCATCTTTTGCGTGGTCGCCCGATACTTCTATTCTGACTAATCGGGTCTCTTCCATTCTATTTATGTATTCGTTCCATTCCTTTTTTCTGTTCAGTGTCCACTCATTTATTTCTGGTATATTGCATTTTCTTCTGATCTTTTCACTCCTCATTCGATCCCTCAGTGTGTTTCCTGTAATTCTCCTCAGTAAACGCATCTCCGCTGTTTCTAGTAGTTGCTGAGTTTTGGAGGTATCCGGTCTTGTCTCTGAAGTGTATGTCATTATTGGTCTTATTGTTGCTTTGTAGATTCTTGATTTCACGTCGGTATTAATGTGGGGATTGCGCCATATCGTGTTATTAAGACAACCTGCTATTTTATTAGCCTTTTGTACTTGATTTTTCACTTCCTTCTCCACATCTCCGTAGCTAGACAGTGTAATTCCTAGGTAATTTGTCTACATTACTTGCTCAATGCTGATACCGTCGATTTCCAGTTTACATCTAATTGGTTCTTTACTGATTACAATTGTTTTAGTTTTCTGTGTAGAGATCACCATATTAAAGTCCTTTGCCCTTGTGTTGAATCTATGGGTTAGTCTTTGTAGATCGACTTCATTGGATGCAATTAGGGCCGCATCATCTGCATAGCAGAGTGTTCTGATTTCTTTGTTCCTCATTTTGTATCCTTTACCTTTATTAATAGTATTGATGATTTCATCCATGATTAGATTGAATAGCGTTGGACTAAGCGAGTCTCCTTGTCTTTCCATTCCATTGTCCATATCTATTGGATCTGTAAGCTGGTCATCTATTCTGACTTCCATATTGTTGTTCGGGTAAATGTTCTCTATTGTTTTTATAACATTTAGTGGAATTTCTCTATCGTAAAGAAGGTGAATTACATCTTTAAGCTTTACTTTATCGAACGCTTTCTTCAGGTCTATTAGACATATGAATGCTGGTCTGTTATACTCTAGTGCTTTCTCGGTAATCTGTTTTATGATGAATACTGCATCTGTGCACGATCTTTCTGTGCGAAAACCCTGCTGTTCTCTGTAATTCTCTGATTTATATGGCCTTGCAATATTTTGGTTGTAAGCTTCAAAGTGGTGTTTAATAAGTTGATACCTCTGTAGTTTTCAGGTTGTTTTTTATCTCCTTTTTTGTATAGTAGGATAAGCTCGCTTTTCTTCCACTCTTCAGGTATTTTATTATGTTTGATGATTTTGTTAATTAGTGCTGTTAGCTGTTCTGTTAATGCTTCTCCACCATATTTCAATAATTCATTTGGAATTCCATCTTTACCTGCAGCTTTTCTGTTCTTCAGTTTTTCTAAAGTTTGTTTTACTTCTTGTACGGTTATCTCGACTTCCTCGTTTGTAATGATTTCTGGTGTTTCTGGTTCTAACATCATTTGCTGTTCATCATTATAAAGCTTCTTTAGGTATTCAATCCATGTGTCGTTATCTATGTGTTTCGGTTCGATTAAGTCTTTCATCTCTGATCTTTGGCCTCTTATGAAACGCCATATTTCCTTTTGTAGACCGTAAAAGTCGTGTTCCATTTCTTTTGAGAAGCGTTCCCAGTGTTCGTTTTTTAATTTAGTTAATGTGTGACAAAATTCCTGTAGGTAATTTGTGGCATATACATTGCTGTAATAAATCCACTAAAACTCGATTAATGTCTCCGCAATATATCGGAAATCTCCTATGTCCAGGATCCATTCATTATTACCAACTTCGTGCTGACAACTCGGTTTATTTCTGCCCATACCTTTACTGAATCTCCTCCACAGACTAATGTAACCAGCATTTGGATTCGTCAGTAAAAATAACATTATTCTAGTGCACTATGTTCCAATGGTTTTGTGCAGTGACAATTTTTTTTCTCTCTCTGAAGGTGAAAAACAGGATAAGAATTGACACATTGTTATGGCACGATCTAAAAACAATTATATAGATTATAAAGTCCACAAAAGAGACCATAAAGAAAGTAACATCTCCAGACAGACTTGATAGACGGTACGCAAGTTGGATATCTGGACCAACTAAGGAATGACAATGCAAGTGTATCAGTAATTAACGAAGTAATAGAAAAGATCTATAGTAAAATTCATTAAGCGGTGCAGGAAAGTATAAACATTAAATCGTGTCCGAACCGGTATGAACCGCTGATAACATCGCCAGACGAGATATTCCGGTTAGTTTTTAAATATTTTTGAAGAACTGTTACTTGCATTTATGCATAAAATATTAATTAATTTTATAAATCGGAGTATTTTTTCACTTACTTTGTATTCAGTGACAACATTAATTTATTTACTATGCAATAAACACGAATATTTGAGAAAAGAAAAAAAAAATAAAGTGTCATAATTATACTGTTACTTATCGGAACGAGTAGACTCATTTGGAACATCTTTAACAATTATCTGTTAAATTTATCGTTGTTTATATGCCCTGCACCGCTTAATGGAATAAGGTATAGAAACTTACCTGCAGCCACTGTAAATCCAATTCAGTAATCTGAAGTCTCGGTAATGATTCTGCTTCTTCATAAGCACTAGCTAGCATACTTTTTGGAATGAACAATTCGGGAATAACATCCTTTTCTTCTTGCACAAAAGGCAATATTCCGTTCTCTTGTAACAATTCGACAACTTGCATTGTTGACTGCTCTATCGAACAATTTACTGTTTTCACCACAAGTTCCGGAAGTTCCGGCTTCTCATAAGGTTGATCGATACCCGTAAAGCCCTTGATAATACCCTTCCTTGCCTTCTGATATAAACCTTTAGTATCTCTTTGTTCGCATACTTCCAATGGAGTGTTAATGAATACTTCAAAAAACTTAAGATCGCTGTCTCGATGGATACGACGTGCCACATCTCTGTCTTCGGCACTGGGGGAAATAAAACTACAGAGGCATATCTGTCCGGCATCTGCAAACAGTTTCGCCACTTCGGCTACTCGTCGGATGTTCTCTTCTCGATCTTGCTTGGAGAATCCCAGGTCTTTGTTTAAACCTGTTCTCAAGTTGTCGCCATCAAGACAATAGGCTGGTATTCCGTGGGATACGAGGTAAGCCTCTAGTTCAAACGCTATGGAAGTTTTACCAGCTCCGGATAACCCTAAAACAGAAGAAATCAATTTTATTAAAAGTAGAGTAATATGGCAATGTAAAGAAAGTGTATATACAGATTGAACCAAATTAAAACGGAACATACAATTTAATGCATGTCTGTTTGAACTGCATTTGAAATAGTGGACCAATATAAAACTTGGACAAAAATAAATCCATACCTGGGTAAAGACATTGTATAAAATATCGTTCAACTATCTGTCTCGCAACAAAGTTGTTTGCGTAAGAAGGGTTTGTCTAAGGAAGTGATAATAGTTCAGGAAATAAAGCTCCAAAAAAGTTAAAACCTCGCAATTTTTTCGTCCTGCATGTATCCGGTTGAAATTTTAAATGAAGAAAGGTGATAGCCCAAGGATCAAAATCTATATCGAACCGAAGTCCGCTGAAGGGTTTTAGGGGTGAAAACTACCCCTAATTGTCAAAAATTATAAAATAACATATTAAACCTGAATATGGGTAAGATTTGGTTTGAATTAGTTAAATAATGATTATTTTATACTTTTGAATAGAGTTCCATCATATTTCAACCCTTAAAAAGCAACCTTTGTTAGAGATTAATGTAAAAAAATTACTAATTCTAAAAAAATGATTTCGCCTTCGATCGATTTGGATAAAAATTTGGATTTAAGCTCAATTCACCCGCTGCTTTATAGTTTATGTCATGTCGACAAACCCTGATTGTTCTTAGGGGTGAAAACTACCCCTAATAGTCAAAAATTATAAAATAACATATTAAACCTGAATATGGGTAAAATTTGGTTTGAATTAATTAAATAATGATAGTTTCGTGCTTTTGAATAAAGTTCCATCATATTTCAACCCTTAAAAAGCGACCCTTATTAGAGATTAATATAAAAAAATTTAGTAATGCGAAGAAAATGATTTCACCTTGGAACGATTTGCATAAAAATTTGGAATTAAGCTCAACTCACCCTCTGCTTTATAGTTTATGTCATGCCGATAAACCCTGATTGTTCTTAGGGGTGAAAACTACCCCTAATTTTCAAAAATTGTAAAATAATATTACAAATCTTAAGATGAGTGAAATTTGGTTTGGATTGGTTAAATAGTGATTTTTTTATACTTTAAAATACAAATTCATACATTTTCAACCCTTAAAAATCAATTGTTATGAGTGCTATAGGTGAAAACAATTTTTTGCCAAAATTTTGCAACTTTGCAACTTTTCAAAATCACCCTTTACAACATTGCAGTTTTTATAAACTATTTTATAAGATATAAATTGAAAAAAGTAAAATTAAATACAAAAAAATTTATCAACATAAAAAGGCACCATTTATTCTTATACATTTACATAAATAGTTGAAAATATTTACATTTATAGGTAAAACAATTATAATATTAATTTTATTCGTTATTAATTACACCTTCATCGTGATCTATGTCATCCTCATCTTCTTCAATTATTGGTGGACTGTTATTGCACCCTTCACCTGAGCACCCAGAACAAGTAGAGTTACAGTATAAACCAACTTTTCTGCACCCACATGAAACTCCGCATCCTTTCCACCGAATTTTCAAAATTCATCGGGTGCAGGTTGTTTGTTCATGCGTACGGGTAATAACAAACCATCTTTGGAATACCATCCCCAATCTGTTGCTCTGATATTTTCATTGTCAAGCCATAGACAAGTGAGCAGATGTTTTATTCTGTTGTATGGGATTTCAAAATAAGAACGCTTAAAATTTCGAATGTATAACGCCCCACTAGCTAATATACCGGTTTTGTAGAATATTATGCTCCGAAATGTACTGTACTATACTAATGGAATTTTCCGGAAAAAAATTAACTAGTTTTTTTAACGTATTTCCTTTAATTTTTAACGATAGAGTGTTTCTTCAAAAACGATTTGTAGAGGTTTTTAAGAGGTACAAGGATCTGTGAATTAAATCTTTTTGGAACCCTTGGTTTTTAAATGGGGTGAGTTTAAAGGGCTCGAAAAAGATGGTGCTTCATCGTAAATCGATGCTTTAAACGGCTATATCTCGCCAAATATTCATTGTACAACAAATCTAAATAAAGGATAATTTTAGTCATTAAAAAAGCTACAATTTGGTAATTTTTATTTTTTTCATATATTCAGTATTTTTGGGCATATTTAAAAAAATAAGAGTAAAAAATATGAAATTGTAAATCGTTTCTCGCTTTAAGCTGTACTTTTTCTAAAACTAAGCATTTTAAATGGGTCAAATTTCTTGTACGTATTAACAATACATGTACAAAGGGAATTGCAGAAGGGTAAAGATCGATTTTGATTATGGGGGTGGTTATGGGGTTGTTTTCATCGATTTTTTCGTAAAAAATTAGGTATTTGACCTTATTTTCATCATAACTCACTCAATTTTTGAGCTAGAGTCTTTTTTATGATAGGTCTATTTATGGTCTTTGGTTTTGTGAGTTTTCTTCCAAAAATGCATCATTTTCCCGATATTTGACTTTGAATCTTTCAAATTTGGCATTTGAAGAAAACCGCTAAACATTGATAGGCCGTATTTCGGTTCCTATTATATCGCAAAAACATTTTAAAAAATAAATTGTATTTGTCTTTTTAAAAGCTACACATTTGTTCTCTACAATTTTTTTGATAAAATGCACCATTTTCGAGTTATTCGCGAAAAATCGATTAAAAACGTGGATTTTTTCGTCTAAAAGTTGTTACTTTCAATCGCGAATAACTTGAAAAATATAATTTTATAAAAAAAAATGTATAGCACATTTTTTGTTTAGAATCACTTTTTTAATCGAAACCTGTAGTTAAAACGTAAAAAAAAAATTCACCCCGGAGATGGGGTGGCAACCACCCCCTAGGTTTTGGCGCACTTTGGTTCGATATAGATTTTGATCCTTAGGCTATTACCTACCTTCTGTTAAATTTCAAGTCAATCTACGCAGCACGAAAAAATTGCCAGGTGAAATACTTCATTTCCTGGACTATAACTGGTTTGACAGCATAATAAAATCGTAGATTTATGTGTAGCTTTGAGCCCGCTGAAGTATTGGATTTTTATAATATAATTATTTGACAATCTTTTGTTGGCCAACCACCTACAGCAGAATTGAGCCGAAATACATTATATTCCTATGTTCCGAATTTATTTCATTCAATCTGTATGTAGGTATTCACGTTACCTGAAGAACCCCTTTTAGGGAATAGGTCTAGATATATCAAAAAGAAGTTAAAATAGTAATTAATATATACCATGCGTCAAATGCACTATCTTTGAAAAGCCAACTCAAAAACCATGTAAAATGGGAAATATCTAATTCAACAGTTGTTACTACCACGTGAATCACGAAATCGTGAAACTACAATACAAACACAAAAACAAGGTCCAATTATAATAATATTGGGAATTGGAATTCTAACAAAAGCTACGCAGGAGTAACAAAAAACTATTTTTAACAGTGTCGTCTCCTTTAAGAAGGTTGGCTTCTTACAGGACTTTCTTAACATTAAAGACTTCTGGAGCTAAATTTATTTTATTCTTATCATGATCTTTTTTTAATTAAAAACCTCTGTAAAAGGTACATATTTAAAACCCAAACGGGCTAATTAGCCCGGTAAAAACGGGTAAAAACCCGTTAACAACTAATTAGTTACATTTGGTTTACAGTATTTCTTATAATATGTTATAGTGCTGGCAAGCACTCTTGACCACGGCGCAGTAGACGAAATTTGGTTTAGTCCTCACCTCCACGCGAAACGCACTGTACTATGCAACGTGAAAATATCGACTTGAAAATTTTTAGTTGTTTTTGACTTTGAGGTGTTAACTTCAATAAGTTTGTGTATTTTCTCCCGTTTACCTGTTGCGTATTCAAATTTATTAAAAGCGGTCAAAAGGTAGGTACTTTATCATAAATTAAAATACATAGGGGTGCATTAAGGAAATTTTAATAAAATTTTTTCATTTCTTTTTTGTTTTGAGACTGGTGCAAAACAAAAATTACTTGCAGTCTGTTATTAATTGGTTTATTAAATTGCTTGCTTCAGGTAAATCGTCATTGTATACCGAGTATACCAATCATACTGTGTTTTTTCTTAAAGTTTTCAACACCCTGTGGAATATTCATTTGTAAAATACTAAAATTAAAACCCAACTATAGCCTTAAGTTTTTTAACATTTTGTTTTTTTTATTGATTGACTTACATTCAAAAATAGCAAAGTTGTGTCCTTTAACAACTAGCCATGTTCTTTGTCAATAAATCCTTATTTTCTCCTTAGTTTAATAAACAAGCCTAAAGTGGGCTATGATAAATTAACAATTTGATAAATGTCAAATTATTAACAGTCACAAAGTGTCTGGTTTTTTGCAAAAATTAGTTACTTTATTATTTCAAGTTTTAATTAAAACAGACATAAAAAAATCCAATTTTTAAAATGGTGTGTTAATTTTGAGGGTTTTGTGTATATATTGTCTAAACCTTTCGAGGAATTTAGGTACATAAATCAATCCAACTAATTACTAAAAGGAAATCCATGTATAGGTAGGTAGAACCTAATTATTGTTCTATTGTATCTAATTTTTCTTATCTAACCTCATTGCAATTCCTAGTAATGATTGATTATTAATATTCCTAATAATGATTCTCTGATTTCTAGTAGTTATGACGTATGGAGAATTCCAAACAAATTATCAATCGATCATTAGCATTCAACAAATCAGTAAACAAATGATCATTATCACTCAATCAAATTATCCGTTGGACTCTTAATATGAATTTGAATATTATTTAATTTACCGTCCTAAATACCATTATAAATCAATACAAAAATTAGTTAACTTGTAAATAATTTTTAAGTAGATACAACTGTTTAGACATTTTAAAAATAAATTATTAAATTAAATGTGTATTAGTTATTCATCCCATAATATTAGTTATATGTCTCAACTCAAAATAAGAAATTGAAAATATAAACTTATAAACAATAATTTTGCTATAAATAATGGGGCTTTTTTCAGGT